AGGTTTATGAAAATTCATTTTTAATTCATTGTTACAAATATTAAAGTTGTGTTCAAAACAATGAATCAAACATTACTTTATCTAAAGTCAAGTTTTTTCTGTGAAGAAAGCTCTAGATCGCGTTTTTTACTGTCTATATAAATTAAACACTTTTTTTCATACATTCAGAGTTTAGGAAAATTTAGGGTTCAAAACATTTCCAGATTATGACTGAACATCAAAATGCATTTATTTTTAATTTATCTAGATGTCCTTATTAATAAAATATTTTTATTTGTAGTATTATTCTCATTCAATAAATCTCAATATCAGTCTTATATTAACCTTGATAATTTTAATCATTTTTCAAATTTTAATATAATTTACAAAAATTTGTTAAATATTTTAATAATTTAATACACATTTAAAACTTAACAATAATTTAATAATAGAATAATTTAGTTTTAATTATCTATAAAATTATAGTTAATATGATATTACTTATGAATTGATTGTACAGATTAAACGACGAGGTCTGCGCTTTTAAGTGATTGGATATTTAAGATCTCATTTGAGTAATTAATTAGATATTAATAACAGTTTCATTAGTTCTATCCCTTGACCTCTCTTTTAGAGAACCAGTGCTTATAATATCTGAAAATGAGTGACCGCTGGCCGACTCTCCGGGTATTCTGCGCTCAACAGTACTTCCGCCGCGTTTGGGGCGACCGGTGCTCGACATCTCGGACTGCATCCGATTCAGGCGATGAGGACTACGACTAGTCTTTCGGAAATTAAAACTAAGCGATGAGAGACCGCCCGTCGCTATACGCGGCCGGAGCTGTAATTTAGCGCTCGGAACCGATAGACTAGAGCCAAGTGTTTGCTTCTTCCGGTTGTGAACCATTGCCGACAGGACTGCAGTCATTGAGTGTTTGTGCGCGTATTGCGAGCGACCAAATGATTTACTCCTTTCAATCTTACGGCCCGTCAAGTAATAGGTCTCCATTTCTCCCTTCCCTTTCACCGCCACTACACCTCTGTATTGCACACGAAATCCTTCAGTTTCCAGCACTTGTGCGGATGCTTTTGGCACCTGTAAGTCATGGCATCATATTTTATACATTTTTAATTCTATATTACAATTGTATAATTACATAGTATTGTCAAAATGATAACTAACTTGAATGTGATCTAAGGTTCCGGTAGAGTCCATACGCGACGCTTCATTTACCTGTATATAGATGTCATAAGAGATGATATAATTGTATTTTTGACATTTCCTTGTGATCTAAATTTTCTAAAACATACAGTATTTCCCCAAATATCATAGACTGGCTTTTTGGCACCGATAACACCACCAACGACTGGTCCGTGTGTTATACCTATCATTTATTGGCGATTATATTAATATTAAAACGGTTTTAATCGTTGATTTAATTACCAATTCTTAGCTTAAAATTATTGAATGAATGTTTATTGACATCTTCTAAGGCCTCTTTCATAGACAATGCCAGGTCTGCCACCGATCCCAATAAATACCCAACTGTTTTGCCCTAAAATATAAAAACAAAGAGCATTATTGGGATAAAATTTATTAAAATTTGATTGAAAATATACGAACAAAAAATTTAATAAATTTTAAGTTATGTCTACAATATAATAAAGGAAAATAAAGTAAAGCCATAAATATTTGAGCGTTTTATATATAGTACACAAGAATATGGCTTTGGATTATTAGAGTGAATGGCAATGAATTTTGATGTCATTTATTAAATTTTATTATAATATTCAATACTTTCTGTTATATTAAAACAATAAAGAAAGAAATGTCTTTAATATATTTGATTTTGTCTTAACTTATTTGTTTTTTAATTTAATTTAATTATTAATTAAATTATTTTATATGATAATACTTAAAGTAAATTAATAAATATAATTATATATTTAAATCAATATTTTATATTCAATAAAATTCAATGTTTTAAAACACTGTTATTAGAAATTTAGTAAAATATGTGACAAAGAAGACTAAATTTCAATATAAATAAAATCCTATAAACAAAGCAAATATTTTGCTAAATAAGACTTTTTATGTTTCAACGGATAAAAATGTTTAGATAAAGTATGAGTGAAAGCTTGAAAACTCATTTTATTTCCCATTCAATGACCATCTGTTGGATTTACTTTCTTATATAAGAAGTGAATACAAAAATAGTTGAATGAAATCCTTTTTATAGTAATTGAAGCGAACGTCAATATGTTATTGAATGATATGATATGCCATTTAAGTTATAACTTTATTTCAAATAACACTTTTATATCAACACTAACGGAGACATCACAAAAGTAGTTATAATCTTTCAACATTAAAAACTATTTATTAAAAGTTAAGCCATCATTAAGTATGGTATTAATTTCTAGAGTAATAACTGCTCATTGATTTGATGTCTAAGATTTCAGATTTATATAGTTTTGTAAAAACGATCGTTCAGTTAACAAACAAACTATGAATGACTTTCAAAAGGTAGAAAACATGATAAATGTTCAAATGAATGTGAAACTCATTTGAGACATATGTGTGTCGGCGAAGTGATTGGTAGGTATGGAATAAGAAATGATTTGATGGCAATAAAAGCGCAAATGAATACCTGATCTCTAGGATTAAGTCCAGAGGCGGCCATATATGTACTGCTAATTGTCTTGATTTTTTCGATGCAACGGAACCGGTCGTCATCCATGAGCTTCAATCAAGGTTATTAACCATACAATTGGTATTAATATCCGGCGAATAGGAGTAAAGCATAGAAATGGCCGAAAGGGTGACAATACCTGATCGAAATCAAAGATAATTTCATTGAGAAGTCGAATACATTCCACACCATTATTGACGTCTTCGGAGTAGAAGTTTGCAAAGTTTGGTATTGAGGCGAAAAGTACCACACAATTTGCATAGGACTGGGCATACAGTTCCTGTCAATCGCATCATTTAATTCAATTCATATGCATTTTATTTTCAATAACTGATGTTCATTCAAATCAAAACTACAGTATTATTTAGTCAATTGAATGCTAACCTCGGAGTTGCGGTCGTGAGTGAGGAAATATGAGGCCACGTGATCGGGAAGAATATTCTTGAGTAGTTGTGTGTTATAATGTCGTAATTCTCTCATATCTTGCAATTCTTTCTGCGCCTGAAGTTTCCACAGAAAGTCAAGTCTTGATGTCCTCTCAATCTGTGGTTTTAGTATATTATTAACATTTATATAATCAATATTTTACCGTTTTTAATTAAAAGAAAGTATTCATTAGAATGTTTAGAATTAAAAAATTTAATTCAATAAACGATTGCATATTTAGATAAAGATATTCAATATGTTTCAGATTTAATAAATTTCAAGTTCGGTCGTAATTTAAAAAAAACGTTATAAAAAATAAATCGTTTTGTAACTATTGCCCACATTTTTAAATAATAAATAACGTAATTGTTGACTCCATTTACATCAATTTTAATTGAGACTACAATGATATCTAAATTCTCAAAATTAAAAAACGTTAAAATTTACAATGTAAAATTGTTGGCATTTTCCCCATTATTTTTGTGCTAGCCTCTTTTCTATAAATCTATAAAAATACACTTAATATGTCATTTGTGCAAAACTTGAAATATAATGAACAATTATAATTTATAATAAAAAGTGAAATACTACATAATTATTACTATATAATGAATTGCTATTAATACATGAATTACTATATAAAAACAATTACAGTTAATAATGAATACAATTATGTACTTACGAGACGACAGTGATATATGACGACAAACAGATATAATATGATTAACACGAATACTTTGATTTTCAATTTTACACATGAGTTTCTGTAAAAAAAACAATACAAAGTATTAGTTTTGTCTACAATTTTTATAATTAAATAGAATTGATATAAATTTAACTGTTATTACAATTTTATGAATATATTGTACAAACCCGATGACATTTTACTAGGATTAATTTAGTGATCACTTGTACTGTAATGAAAACTTTACACAAAAAATATAGTGTATAATATACACTGTATATAACGTAAAGTACATGTATAAACATTACATACATGTATAAAGTTGTTGTTTAGTTTAGTTTACGAAATATTTATGGAATTCAATATAATTTTGTCAAAAGACTTAATTTTAATTAAAAATA